TTTTTTTAATTCAGAGTAATTACGGTAAGATATTAAGATCTAACAAATTTATTTTTTTATCTTTTCTATATGCTTTATTTATAATATAAAAAATTATAGAAGTTGAGGTTGTTTTATAAACTGCATTGGCTGGCTAGTTATCATTTAACCAACCACATTTAATTATTTACCCAACCAACACTTGAGTTTAAGCAAAATAACATTATATGTCCAAATTAGGCTTCTGAAAGCCAGGTCTTGATTAATATTCCAGACCTATGGTTTACTAGCTTTGTGATTCTTGGTAAATTAACATGTCTAAGCCCATTTCTCACCTAATTTACAGAGTTGTGGAGATTATATTATTTATGAAATATTTAGTAGTGTTTAAAGATGAAATTGCTTTGGAAAGAACCTTAATTCCTCTTTACTAGTTCCTACCCTAAGGAATAAATATCTTCACATTTTTACTTAAAGCAAAAATCTCTATAAAAGATTATTATTAATAGACAAATATTAAACACAAGCATGTCTCATAGGCTATTCCATGAGAGAGAGAGAGAAAGAGAGACAGACAGACAGACACACACACACACACTCACTCATATATACATTGATATTTTTGACAGGGTCTCGCCATGTGGTGATCCTTCTCCCAGCCTCCCCGCCACTCAGGATTTAGGTGCATGCAGACAGACCTGGTGTGTTCAGGTCAACTTGGAATCCAGACCCAGGCCGTTCATGTGGGTCCAGTATTGCCCAGGGTGCCTACTACCTGCACTGCCACAGCTGGGCTTAACCACCGACGATTTTAAAAGCACTCTTGTGTTACTATCAGAATCAACCAGATAAATCTTTTTTTTTTTCTTTTTTCTTTTTCTTTTTTTTTGTAAAGGCATTGTTTGGGGGTGTTAATTGTAAATAGTAAGATTCCTTGGGTCTGGATTAGAGCCTTTGGATCCTAGCTATTTCTGATTTGTGCACATTTAAGAATCAACAATTTTAAGACTGTTTTTTGGGGGTGAAATCTTGGGCCCAGCTGCAGACACACAGCAGTAGTAGCCCTATGATCTCAGCGTTCAGGGACAGCCCTGTAGCACTGTGATTAAGCCCTATACAGGGGGAGCCAGACCCCACATGGCTGCATGCTGCTGTGGCAGCTTCAGAGACGTGCTGAGTGCATGCCTCTCCAGAATCCTGACAGAATGAGGCATGGAGGGAAGAAGATTGCAGTGAGACCACACCCCATTAGGAAATTACTTTTCTTCTCTCTTTCTCTCTCTGGTGAGCACACATGCCATTTGGCAATTAAAAAAAAAAATCAAGATTCTCTTTCCAGGTCATTATGTACTTACCAGGTATACACACATATACCTGTGTGCCTGGCTGCCTGGGAAAGCTTGGGTAGAATCACAGCATGAGACCCTGTGATGGTGTTTGCCTGTCTCTGTCTCTGGGTCTTGTTATTTTATTATTAATTAATTAATTTTCTTGGAGAGGTTTTTGCTATAGGGCGTTTGCACTTGCCAGAGAGACAGAGAGACAGAAAGCGCAAAATCACCCCCCAGGGTGGATGGCCACACCACAGTCCCTTCTTCTCCATTCTCCTCTTGGGATCTTGGGCACACCCGCACACACACCCGGCTTGAGTTTAAGCCGCAGGGTCCAGGACTCGAACCATGGTCGACTGTATGGGAATCCAGCTACATAGCCATTATGCCAACTGCTGGTCCCAAAAGAAAGAAATTTTTAAAATTAGTGGAATTCACTCATACTTTTGAACTTTTAGAGTTTGAAGTATTGTTTTAATTTGAAAGGTAAAAAAATTAATAGAGATGAATGTAATGGTTAAAAATAAAATCTGCTCAGGGCTGGCAGGTGGCATGGTGGTTAAGAGTGCTAGACTCCCACATGACTGACTGCAGTTCAAGTCCTGGGCCCGGTGGCTTGCTTTCTCACTTTTTCTCTCTCTCTGTCTCTCTCTCTCTGTATCTCTCTCTCTGTCTCTCCTTTCCCTCTCTCCCTCTCTGGTCAAATATAAATAAATAATTCTTTAAAAAAATGTAAAATCTGCTTATCTGAACATGGTCAAACTTAGAATTTTCCATGATCCCTAATTTTTCTTCTTTAATTTGGGCATCCTACACCTGCAAATACAGCATTTTAAAAGTAAGGATTTTAATATTTATGTATATTTTGATGTATATATGATTATAGGTAGGGATTAGTAAGGGTATATATAGAATGTTTATGCAGTACCGATTTCTTTTTTCCCTTCCTTTTTTTTTTTTTTTTTCTTTTGCTAGAAGGTGCGTGTACTTGCCAGGGAGAGACAGAGAGGAAGAAAAGAACGCACACCCCATGGGGAATAATCATGCTTGCAGTCCCTTCTCCTTTGTCTTTCCCTTCTTGAAGTATTTTGGACATGCATGCACACACACTGACCTTGTTTCTCAGGCTGCAAGTACAGGACCTGAACTGCATGGTCTGCCATGTGGAATCTGGCTGCCTTATCTACCAGGTCTCAGAGCCAACCCTAGTACTATTCTTTTTCTTTTTCTTTTTCTTTTTCTTTTTTAAGAGAGGTTTTTGGATATAAGGGCACATGTGCTCACCAGAGACAGATGGAGAGGCAGAAAGCGAGAAATCACCCACCGGGGGGATGACCACACTGCAGTCCTTTCTCTATTCTCCTGTTAGGATTTTGGGCACATGCGCACACGCCTGGCATGAGTTTTATGCTACCGGGTCTGAGACTCGGACTATAGTCGACTACGTGGGAGTCCAGCAATGTAACCATTACGCTGTCTGCTGGTCCCCCTCCAAAACAAATTTTTAAGGCTTTATTCTTTTAAATTGCTTTATTCTTTTAAATTATAAAATAATCTTTTATTTATTTTTAAATTTATTTTTGTTTAATTTTATTCATTCATTCATTCTTTTTTTCCTTTTTTTTTTTTTTGGGAGAGGTTTTTGCTATAGGGTGCGTGCATTCACCAGAAAGACAGTGAGAGACAGAGAGATAAAAAACAAGAAATCACCCCCCAGGGAGGATGGCCACACTGCAGTCCCTTCTCCTCCATTCTCCTCTTGGGATCTTGGGCACGCACGCATGCAAGCACACATGCCCGGCATGAGTTTAAGCCACCGGGTCCGGGACTCAAACCACGGTCGACTACATGGGAGTCCAGTGACATAGCCATTATGCTAACTCTGGTCCCAAATTATAAAATAATCTTTTATATACATAACTTCTGTATGTACCTTTACTCTATGCATTCGATTTGTTGTGTCCAAAAGGAAACAATGTATTTATGTAGAATTTGTCATTTTCTTTTAATTTGAATTTAAAAAGGTTTTTTTATTATTATTATTATTCATGATAGTGTGTGTTGATATACACGTGAGAGTGAGAGGGAAAGAAGTGAGAGAGAGGGACAGAGAGATGAAGTAATGAACATCCTCCACAGGGCCTGGTCATGCATGCTCTTCGTCCTCCAGCCCTTTGGATCTTGAACGTTTACATGTCTGCTCAGTGTATTTTACACCTGCCAGGCCTGGGATTCGAACCATGTCACCATGTGGGATCCAACTTCTCTTGGGCAGTATATTACCACTGTGCCAACCCAGCCAGCCCAACAAATACTTTTGAGCTTGCAACCTCCTATTTTCTTTATCCTACCTTTCTTTCACCATGCAGGTGAAGATGCATTTAGGCTTTAAGCTGTCGAGTGGGCCTAAACACTCACTCAGCACGTATGCCTCAGCGCCCGTGTGTGAACCCGACAGTGGGTCTTGGTGGACATAGCACATGCAGTGTCAGTCTAAGCGGTCCATGGTCTGTGCATCTCAGCGTTTAAGAAACACGGGTCATACCTTGTTGGTATGTGCTGTGAAGGGGGTGGAAGACACGTGGTGAGCATCGCAGACTGGGAAAGGGTCTCATTTCTCTTTAGAGAGTGAGGGATCTGCAGGAACATTTCATAAATGTAGTTTTTCCAATTTTTGCTAAAGTTTGTTTTTGGATTTCTTATTACAGCGCAGCTTATGATGCCATCCTTGAAAGAAATGTTGCAATCAAGAAGCTAAGCCGACCATTTCAGAATCAAACACATGCTAAGCGGGCCTACAGAGAGCTAGTCCTTATGAAATGTGTTAATCACAAAAATGTAAGTGAACATTTTCTATTTCTTACAGATGAAATCAAGATCGTTTCTGAATACATGAATATCAAAGACTGCTTAAATACTCGGGACTTCAAATTGTTCTTCCAGATTGAAACATTTAAATTATATATGTCTGTGACTTACTTTCTTTGCTTCATTATTTTCAAAAGAAAAATGGCTTCTGAAGTTGAGATGTGTGATTTCCTGAAATGTAAGAAAGAAGTTTTAAAGAGGAACGTGTTTTAGGAGAGCTTTCTTTCTTTGGACTTGATCTCATTTTCTGGTTTTTATTCTATATCAGCCTGGCATTTAAAAAAAACTGTAGCTTTAGCAAAGAGATGAAATTGCTTCCGTTACACTTTGTCACTGGAGCTTTATCCAGTCACATCGGCTGTAAAATTCAGGTCACTTTTCCTTGCCTCACTCCCTCCTAAGTGATGGGAGTAATCACTGGACACTGTAATTGAGGTCAGTAGTTAGAAAGAGTTTAGTAGAAACTTTTTGAAAATTTCTAAAAGGAATTAGGGAGGTATTTCTAGTTTCGTTTTCTTTCTTTCTTCCTTTCTTTCTTTTTTTTTTTTTTTTTTTTTTTGTAATAGGGCACGTGTGCTCACCAGAAAGACAGAGACAGACAGAAAGCAAGAAATCACCCCCCCCGGGGTGGGGGGTTGGCCACGCCAACAATCCCTTCTCCTCCATTCTCCTCTTGGGACCTTGGGCACGCACGCACATGTGCCCGGCATGAGTTTAAGCCACCAGCTCTGGGACTTAAACTGCGGTCAGTTGCATGGGAGTTTCAGTGACATAGCCATTACACCAACTGCTGGTCCCATTTCATTTTCTAATGTTGATAAAAATTAATAAAATTTTACTTATTTCAAGAATAAGCAGTTATTTTTTTTCTAAACTTACACTAAGCATACTGATACTTTTGTGATTATTTTAATGAAATGATTTCTCCAAGCTGAGAGGAAGTAAGCTAGGAGTGAAATGTGCCAGGGACAGTTTATAAATATAATGAGCTCAGTCCTTTTCTTTTTAATTTTTAAAAATTTTTATAAGGCTTTTGCTATAGAGAGAGACAGAGAAAGAGAAAGTAAGAAGTCACCCCTTGAGTGGGAGTGTTGGCCACGCCTCAGTCCCTTCTTCATTCTCTTCTTGGGATTTTAGACATGTATATACACACACACCCAGTGTGATATTCAAGGTGCCGGGTCTGGGACTTGAACTGTCATGTGAGATCCAGGGCCTTAACCACCACACCACCTGCTGATCCAGAGCTCAGTTCTTTCTGATTGGAGATGACACAGTTTACCATATTTTGTGAGCTTTCTGTGTGTATGTCCCTGTACTGAAGTTACTAGGTTTGTTGTGAAAGGAAAAAATTCATGAAAGCTAAGGATTAGGCTCCTTATTTAGCATTTACAATGGTGTTTTGAAAAGAAAACAGATACATAAAGAGTTAAATATCACAGGTAAAGCAGGACGTTTGTTAAATGGAGTAGATGGATGATAAATACTGAAATTTCTGTGAGCATTAGTGAACTGGAAAGGCTTTGGGGAAGAGTAGACCTATACTGACTCCTACAGATGGAGTAAAAATTGGGTTATTGAAGCACGAAGAGAAGGGCATAATAAAGATTCAGAGGCAGAAGTTAAAGTTAGTTAACGACAGGGAGAAAAACCGTGACAGCTGTTCTTAGGCCAAATGGGAGCCAGACGTGTTCTTCCCGTTGTCACTTGTGTCTTCTACCTGGGGATAGAGCTGCTCTTGCTTGTTTGGGACTGGAGACCCAATTTCATGACAGTAGCTCTGTCGGCGTTATCTTGATTTTCTTTTGGAGAGGAGTCCAGGAACTTCCATTTCCTGGGAGTCTGTGAAATAAAGTGTTCTAGTTGAGCAAACGGAAGGTGTGGGAAGTGGTCTCACATGATTAGCCCTCTAGCAGGGATGGCACAGATTCATCCAGGCAGTCCCCTTAGCACCACGGAGGGTGCTGGCACAGAATAGGGGTTCAGAACATTTGTTCAGTGAATGAGGATAAAACTAAATAGGGAGAAACCAGTAATGGTTAATTGAATTTTTCTCTTCCCTCGTGGGCAGACGTTTTTGTAATGTCTTGTCTTTTAAGCAACGTCCTGTTCTGCACAGATCATCTCTTCATTGGTCTAAACACCTCTGCTTTTTCCCACTCTCTTCATTGGTCTAAACACCTCTGCTTTTTCCCACTCTTTTCATAGATGCTTTTGGGGCTTTTGGGTTTCGTTTTCAGTTGATCTCTGAAGGTACTTTGGCAAGTCTGCTGGCACACAGTACTGTGTGTCTGATGGAACCCTGCGCGAGGAGCTGAGGCCTGCCATCGTTTAACAGATGTAATCCTGTTTGGAAATCACATTACTATTTGACTTATATTGTCTAAACCAAGTTATTCTTTGTCATTGGCCTGCTAATAGGTCACATTTACAGTGCAACCTTGTTATTTATTTATTTATTTATTTTTTAAAGACAGTGTCTCGTTGTGTTGCCCAGGCCAGTCTTGACCTCATAATCTTCCTGCCATGGCCTCACGAGTCGTTGAGTGTGTGACACTGTACCCGGCCTTTGGATTGGACTGGGACTTAAACCCAGGCCTCCCACATAGTCTCAGGGTAGCAACTTAGCAGCACGTAGCTTTGTGTCTGAGCCAGATCTTCTTTTTTCTTTTTGGTTCTGGAAAATTAAGCTTACAGAACTTTTTATCTCTCCCTAGGAAATTTCAAAGGTGAAATTTGTTTACTCTTCCTAGACTAAGAGGGGGCCTTCAAAAGTTCATAGAAAATAAAATGCATATTATGAAAAAACTGCCTGGATTTCAAACTGTTTTTAGAAGTCTCTTTTTATTAGAGATTGCTTTTTTCTTCTTCGTTCTGACTATCTGGCCTCACTTACTAGTTTTGCTCAGGATGTCTTCTTTTTTTTTTTTTTTTGGAGAGATTTTCACTGTAGGGCGCGTTCGCTCGCCAGACAGACAGAGAGAGCCATAGAGACAGAAAGCGAGAAATCACCCCCAGGGGGGATGGTCACGCCGCAATCCCTTCTCCTCCATTCTCCTCTCGGGATCTTGGGCACGCATGCACACGCGCCCGGTGTGAGTTTTAAGCCACCGGGTCCGGGACATGAACCGCGGTCGACTACGTGGGAGTCCAGCGACATAGCCATTACGCTAACTGCTGGTTCCCAGGATGTCTTCTTAGTAGCTTGATTAGGTCATTAGCAGCCTTTGGGTACATTGCCAGAATTCACATGGCTAATCAGAATGATCCACTTCTCTCCAATTATTTCTCTTACTCATATGGACATTATTATTAGAGACATTTTCAAAAACACCTTTTTGAAATTTTCTTAGACTACGTCTACTTGTGTTTCTCTGATAGGCTGGTATTGTTATTTGTTTTTATTCACAGAGAGAAATGGTATTTCTTAATTTTTTAAAAGAATTCTTTTATTCATTGTTATTATGACTGAATTTGACCAGAGAGAGATAGAGGGAGAGAGGAGGAAAATAAGAAAACAAACCACCAGGTTTGGGACTCGAGCCACAGTTGGCCATGTGGGAGTCCAGCACCTCTAACCACCACACCACCTGCTGGCCCATCTCAATGAACTTTTACTTGCTCCTGGTAATTGTTACTCCTTTCACTAATCAACTCTTGACTCTTACTTGGCTGTCCAGTCTATAATTTATATAATTTATTTTATGGAAAAATAGGTCAGCTGTTTTAGTCTCTTTTTAAAAACATCTTTATTGATATATCTCTCATACTGTACAGATTGCCCCTTTAAAATGCACAGTTCAGTGGTTTTCAGTATATTCACTGATATGCGTGACTATCACCAGTCAGTTATAGAAGACTTCTTCATCTCCAAGAGAAGCCCTGCAACCTTTAACCATCGTTCCCCTACCACCTGTACCCCTCACCTCTGAATGCCCACTGATCTCCTTCCCGTCTCTGTATGCCTTGAGTCTTTAACATCACTCTTGTACTCTAGGATTTCCCCAGTATTAATGAGAACAGTTTTACTATTCATCCAAATCTTCCTCCACTGTGCCCTTCATCTGTGTGGGAAACTTTATTAAGAACAGCTGAATGCATTCTGATTATTTCCCTGTCCTAAATTTGTTTTACTTTTTGAATATTGTTTTTCTGAATATAGTCACTGAACAAAGAATGCCTTTTATAAGCAAAGCTTAGTGCTTAGATGACCAACATAGATTCCACCCTCCTGAAGTTTATGTCTAGAAAAACGTTCCCAACCCTAGGCATAATTGTCAGCAAAATGTGTGTCAGGTGCTTGCTGTGTACTGGGCAGTGAAAGTGAGTAAGACAGAATTGACCAAGTTCTTTCTAATACAGATCTTGTGTGCTAGGGATGAGGCTGTTACAAAGATGAGACAGCGCTGTAGTGTGTTGAAAGCCATAAGTATCACAGAAGGTCACTGGAAGGGAAGGAGAGTAGTGACTGTCAAGCACTAGAGGTCTTCAGACTGTGAGAGAGGACCATCTGGAAAATAATTAAGTTCAGTACATAAATAACAAGCATCGATTGGAATGGTATGTTTAAAGGCATCAAGAATTCAAAAACCGGGACCAGCAGATGGCATAATGGTTACGTTGCTGGACTCCCATGTAGCTGACCATGGTTCGACCCTGTGACTTGAACTCACACCGGGCACTATGCGTGCGTGCCCAAGATCCCGAGAGGAGAATGGAGAAGGAATTGTGGCGTGGCCATCCCCCCTGGGGGGAGGGGGGGTGATTTCTCCCTTTCTGTCCCTCTGTCTCTCTCTGTCTTTCTGGTGAGCACATGTGCCCTGTAGCAAAAACCTCTCAAAAAAAAAAGTTTCAAAAACAACATCCTTAAAACTAATTTAGTATGGCTAATGTATCAAGTGTAGTAGAGTTCTTAACTGGAGATGAAGAGCTTTGAATGTATCACTAGGGAGTTTTGAAATTTATTTGTTGTCTTTTAAGTTTTTGATGTGATAAGTAATAGGATCACGTGTTTCTTTTACCATATTAAAGGTGATAAAAGAGTAGCTGGATTTTTAGAAAACCATTGTTAGGAACCCTAAACGTCTTGTAAGTACAGGCTGCCCTAATAGAACAACTTAAGAGTTCCTTAAACAGCAGAGATTTATTTCATAATTCTGGATGCTTGGAAGCACAGAATCAAGGTGCTGGCCAGTTTGGTTCATGGTGTGCTTCTGCTTCCTGATTCATAGATAGCCACCTCCTTGTTTATCCCCACATGACCCTTTCTAGGTCCACGTGTATGGAGAGAGGAGAGATAGCTAGCTCCCTCCTCCCTTTCTTATAAAACCCCTAATCCCTTTATGTGGGGCCCCATCCTAATGACCTAATCTAAACTTATTCACTTCCCAAAGACCCTGTCTCCAAATATAATCATATCGCAGGGGAGAGTTTCAGCAAATGAACAGGGGGAACATAAACATTCATTCAGTCTGAAACACTAGTGTTAGAGTAACTGTAGTACATACAGTCTGGGCGACATGTTAATATCCTGGACTGTTGCGCAGGGTAGAGAAAGAAGAGGTTGAAGTTCAGATAGTATGGACAGCATTCTTTTCAATATTTATTGTAGTGCACGTGTGAAAAAGCCAAAAACTACTCTGAGTCTTCTGTTATAAAACAGAGCACACTGGAAAAATAGTTTGGGTAGAAATCAGAATGACTTCAACTTTGTAATATTTGTGAGATAACCATGTAAAGTGGCAATGCATATTTGACTTTTAAAAAAGAATATTTGTGTACTATTATTTATTAGTATTTTTTAAATAAGCTATGGGTCACACGTGCTCACCAGAGCTGGATAGGGTGGGGGGAGAGTAGGTCATGAGAAAGCCAGCTGCCAGGTCTGTGACTTGAACTGTGACTGGCCTAGTGAGAGTCCAGCACCTTAACCACCATGTCACCTGCTGGCTGAGGACTTCTGCTGCTTTTTATCCACACAGAGATGTTTGGAGAAAAAGACATAGATGATACATTATCCATGGAAAGAACAGGGAAGGATTAGAGGGTGCGCCTGTGGTAAACCAGCAGACTGGGAATGAGGACAGTGGGGCAAGCTCAGTGTCATGAAAAATCAGGGGAAAAAGGGCTGAGATCACATGGAAATAGTGGTAAGTACTGGTAGAAGTACTTAAGATTTGATGAGAAGTTATTTAAAGGTATGCATAATAAAAATGCTTGGTAATTTGTTTTCATAAATGGAATGGGTTATGTGAAACTCTTCTTTGGTAAGTTGTTGTCCCCCACCCCCCCAGACTTTCTTGGAATAGTTTCAAGTTCACAGCAAAATTGAAAGGAACATTTCCCCTATGTTCCCTGCCCCTACATATGTTTAGCAAACCCCAAATCTACATCCACTATGAAAGTGGTATATCTGTTATAATTGCTGAACCTACATTAGATACACCATTACCACTCATGGTGTGCAGTTCACATAATGATTCACTCTTGGCAGTGTCCTCTCTGTGGGTTTGAACACATGTATGATGACATATACACCTTTATAGATCATAGGGAAGTTTTCACTGTCAGTAAGTTCATCCCTTCCTCCCACCCAGCCATTGGCCATGAAATTTTACTATATTAAATAAAAGAGATTACTTGAATTGAGCACATAAAACCTGAATGATTTTAAACCAGTAGTAGATTTTGTTTAATCTATGTATTTACAATTCACTAACGAAAAGTATTAGGAAGTATTAATAGTTTGTCATTTTTCAGTCGTTTTGCTTTTTCTACAGATAATTGGCCTTTTGAATGTTTTCACACCACAGAAGTCCCTAGAAGAATTTCAAGATGTGTAAGTGTGGTCATTAGAAGATTTTGTTATGTTAATACATTATTCTTAGATCATTGCTGTACATTTTAGCTGTCAATCTTTTCTCACCCATAAAGTTACATAGTCATGGAGCTCATGGATGCAAATCTTTGCCAAGTGATTCAGATGGAGCTGGATCATGAAAGAATGTCCTACCTTCTCTATCAGATGCTGTGTGGAATCAAGCACCTTCACTCTGCTGGGATTATTCATCGGGTTAGTAAAGAAAACAAGTATCATCATATTCGAATTCTAAAATGTTTTCATCACCCCACAAGAAAACCTGATCCTTAAGTAGTTACTCTTCAGTTCCATCTCTTCTCAGTCCTTGATATGTATCACACCAGTCTGCCTCTGTGGCTAGGTGTCTGATGTAGATGGAGTGAGGTCATGGGTTTGTCTGTGTTTGTTGTAGCACCCATTAACTAGTGAATTCCTTTTTATGGCTGAGTAGTGTTCTGTTTACCACGTTTTATTTATCCATTCATCTGTCGATGGACATTCGTGTTATTTACATCTTTCATTATAGCTAATGTGCTGTGAAAATTCTTGTACAAGTATTTGTTTAAATACATATGGTCCCTGACTTATGATGGCTCTACTTTATCATGTTATGAAAGCCACGCACATTGAGTGGAACCATACTTTGAATTGTAAATTTGGATCTTTTTCGCTGCTAGCAATACGTGATACAAAACGCTCCTGATATGCTGGGCAGCAGCGGTGAGCCCCAGCCTGGTCACTGCACAGCCGCAGTCAGTAGTCTGTAGTGCATGCGTGGCCAGGGCTGTTTTGGATAGTGTGTTTTTTGTTTGCTCATCCCATTGTGTCTACAACTACAGGCTTATGTAAGTGTTCTGAGCACAGTAGAACTAAGGTAGGCTAGGCCGAGCTATGCTGTCCAGTAGGTTAGTTGTATTAAATACATTTTTGATGGTGGGTAAAATTGCTGGGTCAAATGGTAATTCTTGAAATAACTTTTTGAGGACTGTTTTTTGACTTCGAAACTTTTTGACTGTTTTCTACAGCAGCTGTACTACTTTTTATTCCAGCAGTGATGTGCAGATTTTCTGGTTTTCTAGTTTCTGCACATCCTTGTCAGTACTACTCATCTGACTTTTTCATTGTTCCCCATCTCAGTAGATACAAATGGTACTTTGTTGTTTGATTTATACATTTCTAATAACTAATGATGTCAAGCATCTTTTCATATGTTTGTTGTTCATTTGTACCGTCTTGGAGAAATGTGTATTCGAGCCCTTGCCTTTTTTTTTTTTTTTTTTTCCTCCGTACTTTTGCCAGTGACAGACAGTAAGAGGGAAAGTGAGAAATCAGCTCCAGGGGGTTTGGCCACACCGCAGTCCCTTCTTCTCCGTTCTTCTCTAGGGTTTTTGAGCATGCATGCACACACGCCTCGTGTGATTTTCAAGCCATTGGATCTGGGACTCACTGCGGTTGACTATTTGGGAGTCTGACACTGTAACCACTGTATAATGACCCACTTTGGCCCGTTTTTAAATTGGGTTGTCTTTTTGCTGTAGTTTTAGGGATTCTGTATGTATTTCATTTATGAGACCCGGACCCAATAAAGGATTTGTAAATAGGTTCTTCTTTTTTTCTTTTTTTTTTTTTTTAGCCCATGTATCTGCTGTAGGGTACATGTAGGGTAAATGTGCTCATTAGAGAGAGACAGAAGAGACATAGTGAGAAAGGACCTCACAGGGAGGGTGGCCACGCTGCAGTCCTTTCTCCTCCATTCTCCTCTTGGGATTTTTGACATGCTAATAAGCACATGTACGTGGCATATTTTTCAGGCCACCAGTTTGGGACTTGAACTTCACAGTCAGCCGTGTGGAATCTATCTGCATTAACCACCACACCACCTAGTTGACCTTTTTATTCCTTTTCATTTTATTTATTTATTTTAAAGAATTGTTTATTTAATTTTATTTATTCATTTATTTTAATTTTTTCAGACAGAGAGAGAGAGAGACAGACAGACAGATGGACAGAGGGAGGGAGGGAAGGAGGGAAAGGGAAAGATAAGAAAGCAAGTCACCAGATCTAGGACTCAAACCATCGTCGGCCATGTGGGAGTGTCCAGCATCTTAACCACCACGCTACCTGCTGGTCCCTTTATTTATTTTTTTTAATTGCCCGAGTGCACATGCGCTCACCAGAAAGAACAGAAAGGGATGGGAACCAGCAGTTGGCGTAATGGCTATGTTGCTGGACCCCCACGTAGTTGACTGCGGTTCGTGTCCCAGACCTGGTGGCTTAAGACTCATGCTGGGCGCGTGTGCGTACGTGCCCAAGATCCCAGGAGGAGAATGGAGAAGAAGGGATTGCGGCGTGACCATCCCCCCTGGGGGATGATTTCTCACTTTCTGTCTCTATGTCTCTGTCTGTCTGGCGAGTGCACGTGCCCTATAGCAAAAACCTCTCCAAAAAAAAAAAAAAGAAAGAACAGAGAGGGAAATATTACCCCTCAGTGGGATGTGGTCATGCAATAATCTCTTCTCCTCCATTCTCCATCCTGTTGGGATTTGGGACACATACCACACATACCCGGTGTGTTTTTCAAGGCCAGGATTAGAACCACATAGTGCCCATGTGGGATCCAGCTCCTTTAACTACTAGCCAAAAGGCCTGGCTTGATTTTTTTTCTCCCTTTCTTCGGAGTGTCTTTTCACTTTGTTGATGATACCCTTTAGTATGCAAACGTTTCTAAGTTTTATGAAATTCATTTTATCAATTTTTTCCTTTGTTGCTTATGCTTTTGGTATATATGAGAATGCATTGTTAAGTTCAAGGTCATAAATATTTAACTTTGTGCTTTCTTCTAAGAATTTAGCTCTTACAAGTATGATTTTGATCCATTATAAATTAATTCTTATAGATAATGTGATGTAAAAATCCCAACTTTTCGGGAACCAGCAGTTAGCGTAATGGCTATGATGCTGGACTCCCATGTAGTCGACCACGGTTCGCGTCCCGGACCTGGGGGCTTAAAACTCATGCTGGGTGCGTGTGTGTGTGTGTGCCCAAGATCCCGAGAGGAGAATGGAGGAGAAGGGATTGCAGCGTGACCATCCCCTCTGGGGAGTGATTTCTCGCTTTCTGTCTCTAATGTCTCTCTCTGTCTGTCTGGCGAGTGCACGCGCCCTACAGTGAAAACCTCTCAAAAAAAAAAAAAAATCCCAACTTTTCTTTTATGTGTGGATATTAATTGTCCTCTAACACCAATGGCCAAAATAATTATTCTTTTTCCATTCAGTAGTCTTGGCACCCTTATTGAAAACAAGTGGGCTGTAGATGCATTATTTTATTTCTAGAACCTCAGTTGCATTCTGTTGGTCTTTGTGTCTGTTTAAATAGCAGTACCACATTATTTTAATCACTATAGTAAGTTTTGAAATGGAGAGTTGTGAATCTTCCAACTTCGTTTTTTCTCAACATTCTTTTGACTCTTGGGGCCCCTGGTGATTCTGTAAGAATTTGAGGATAATTTATCATTACCAAAATAAAGGCAATTGTGATGTTAATAAGGATCTTATTAACTGTAGATTGCTTTTGTATTTGCCATTTTAACAAAATTTAACATTCCAGTTTGTGAACAGGTTATCTTTCCATTTTTTAGGTTGCATTAGTCTGCCTGAGCTATATAACAAAATACCTCGGAGTTGGTGTTTTATTTCTTTTTTTTTTTTTTTTTTTTTTTTGAGGAGGTGGATATAGGGAGAGATTTTTGTTGTAGGGTGTGTGCACTTGCCAGAGAGACAAAGAGACAGAAGGGAGAAATCACACACACACCCCCCAGGGGGGGGTTGGCCACGCCTCAATCTCTTCTCTATTCTCCTCTCAGGATTTTGGACATGCACACGCATGCACCCGGTGTGAGTTAAAGCTGCTGGGTCCAGGACGCCAACTGTAGTTAACTCTATGGGAGTCCAGCAACATAACCATTACGCCATTTGCTGGTTCCTGGATTGGGTGTTTTAAATAATAGAAACTTATTTTCCACCATTTCGGAATCTAAAAATTTATGAACAAGATGTCAGCAAATTTGGTTTCTAGTGAGGCCTCTCTTCTTGACTTGCATATGACCTCTCTCTCGATATGTTTTCACAGGCTTCTACTCTGTCTATTTGCCATTATAAATGGAACCATATTCTGTGTTTATTGTCACGTTGTTCATTGCTAGTGGATGAAATACAACTGATTGTAGTGTGCTGAGCTTATATAGCCAACTATGTTCATATTTCGTCACTAGGTCTCATAACTTTTTTGTTTGTTGTTTCTTTAGATAAGGTCTCACTTAGTCACATTCCTGCCTTAGCCTTCCATGTAGCTGGGACTGCAGGCATGTGCTGCCATGCTGGCTTTTGATTGTGCTGGGAATCAAACCTGGGGCTCCCTTGTGGCCTCAAGTCTACAGAGCAACAGTGTCTTACCAGTGTGTGCCACTGCAGCTAAAGCTCTAGTAGATTTTATATGAATTTAAAAATAATTTTCTAGGGACCAGCAGATGGCATAATGGTTACATTGTTGGACTCCCACAGTTGAGGCTGGTTAACCTTGGTTCGAGACCTGACCCTGGCAGCTTTCAAACTCAGTGCCAGGTGCATGTGCATGCATGCCCCAGATCCCAAGAGGAGAATGAAGGAGATGGGATTGTGGTGTGGCCATCCCCCCTGGGGGGTGATCTCTCGTTTTCTGTCTGTCTCTCTGGTAAGTGCACACACCCTATAGCAAAAATCTCTCTTAAAAATATTATAATTTTCTATATAGAAGATCATATCTTCTGTACCCTAGTGTTACTTCTTTCTTCCTAATTTTAGGTGCCTTTCTTCCCTCTTTTGCATAGCTGCTGTACAGGGAACTTTCAGTAAAATGTTGACTATAAGGGGAGAATGTGGGCAACTTTGCCTTATTTCCTGACTGTGAGAGGGAAGTTTTCATGATTTTATCATTAAGTCTGATACTAGCTGTGAGGTCTTCATAAATGCTCTTTTCCTGATTGTAAAAGTTCCTTTCTCTACACTTGAGTTTGTAACGTTGTTTAGTCAGAAAACATAGACCCCACCCACACACACACACACACACACACACTCACACACACACACACACAAGACTGCCCTTAATTCGGATGTCATCTACATGTTCAGGGATTCCCAGAACCACCCTCACTTCAGACCAGCTGGCCACACCTGCAC